CTAATCAGCACAATTGACCCCTTGTCAATTTGACAGACAAACACATCACTATTAAACTATAACCTTTCCATTTCTTGTCCCTGAGATATGATGTTAACATTCATATCACAACATAAGACAGTACAACCTTAAAAGCCAAACAGTCCTTAAAAAAATATCCAAACACTTAAAAGTTCAGTCTCTTTTAAAAGTCTCTTAACTGTGGGCTCCTGTAAAATCCAAAACAAGTACTGCCTTATTTCAAAGGGAAGAATCAGGCACACCTAAGTAAAACCTAAGTCCAGCAAAGTGGCTCAAGACTGGACATCTGGGATTCACTCACGATCTATTGGGCTCCAAAGGATTCCGGCAGCTCCACTTCTGTCTCTGCCGTCCACAGCACACAAGCTAGTCTCGCAGACCTAGGCCAGCTCCACTCCACACCTGCTGCTGCCCTTGATGGTCATCCCATGGTCCTGGCATCTCCAAAAAGCTGGGATCTCCACTGAAACTGAGGCTGCACTGTCATCAATGGTCTTTTTTGGCCTCTCAGGATGCAATGCCTCAGATTCCATGACCCCTTCAATCCTGGGGTCTTCACTGCAACTGAAGCTGCACTCTCACCAATCGCCTTTCCTGGCCTCTAAGGGTACAAAGCCTCAGCTGCTCTCTGTGACCCCTTCATACTTTCAGCACCAGAACCATGCAGGAAACTTGCACATTATCAAGTCCTGCTTTCAGCTTGAGATGGAGGCTCTAGCCCACTCTGTACCACAGTTTTTGTCCTGACCCTGAGGAAATACCACCCAGAAGATTTCTCCACATCGATGCTGGTCTCTTGTTATTTACAGCTGGTTTTTCAGCCCCAGCTAACCAGCATCAATTGTCCCAGTAAAGGAAAGGTTTTACTTCAGGTTCTGGTCTCTTCTTAATCACAGCTGATTCTTCAGCCCCAGCCAACCAGAACCCACAGATTCTCAATTCAAAATATCACATGAACAGACCTGATAGTCTCTGCTTCCCTTTGAAGTTTCATAAGCCAGGCCACCATTGCCTATGACTCTTTCAGCATAACTGCTCCAAGCTCCACAGGAACAAACTCTGAGCATTCAATGGCTTTTCCAGCACAAAGTTCCAAATGCTTCCACAATCCTCCAACATCAGGTCTGTCACAGCAGTGACCCACTCTCTGGTGCCAATTTCTGTTCTAGTTTGTTTCTCCATTGCTGTGACAAGATACTCTGACCAATACCAACTGGGGGAGGAAAGCATTTATTTGGCTTATATTCCTGGGTATTACAGTTCATCAGGTAGCCCAAGGTAGGAACTCAAGGCAAGAACCTGGAAGCAGGAGCTGGAGCACAGCCCATGGAGGAATGCTGCTTACCGGCTTGCTCCCCTGGCCCATGCTCAGCCTGCTTTCTTAAACCACAAAGGCTTACCCACCCAGGGATTGGCAGCACTCACAGTGGGCTCGGCCCTCCCACATCACTCATTAATCAAAAAGATGCCCCACAGATGTGGTCACAGGCCAGTCCAATGGGGAAAATTCCCCAATTGAGATTCCCTCAACCCAGGTGTGTCAAGTTGACACTAAAGTGGGCACGGACTTCTCAGGACAGATTTTCTTGAGAAGTATTATTTCTAAGGTCTAGGAACTGAATTCCCTGAGTGGGGGGCACCTGTATTAACGATTCTATAGGGCTGACGGTCTGATTAGAACTCCTATAACTATGGAGAGCTGGAATGTTGCAGGTCTAGAGTCAAATTATCTTGGTAATCTTTAGCTCTCTTACTAGTCATTGCCAAGCTCTATGTTTGACCTGACATCCTAGTGACAGTCTGGTAAAATTCTTTTGGGAATGTATTAATAGAACCCCACTTTCTTCCACCCACCCAAAGGCCAAGTATGTCATCAGCATCTGAGGCCTGTAGTCAAGACTTCCCTACTGCAACCCTCCTACCTCATGTTCCTACCAATGTATTTTTTAAAGTACCTTGATTTGTGACTTTATTTCTTCTGTTACTATAAGAATATTGTAAAAATGCTACCATGGTATTTGGGATAACCTAAACCTTTGCTCCTGAGCCATGGTCACGCTTATTTGGTTGACTCCAGAATAAACTCATTCCTTCTGAGGTGAGCAGCTGTGTTTATGCATCAAGAAATCAATGCTTACTTTAATACTTCAGTAATTTTAGGTGTTCAGATTGTTTTGTTTTGTTGTGTTTACTCCAGAAAACAGTTTTCTGCTTGCCAACATGAAACATACATAATACCGCAGCAAACCTCTCACTGCAGTGAGAGCTGAACTTCAGCCTTGTGAGAAAGACTTCTTCCAAATCTACTTTGTCCTTGGTACTCTACCCCAGCCAAGGAAGCAGCTGATCTCTATAGCTTTTCTTGCTTTTTTTTTTTTTTTTTAAAAAAAAAAAAAGGGTTGGGGCTAGAGAGATGGCTCAGTGGCTAAAAGCACTGGCTGCTCTTGCAGAAAACCCAGGTTTTGTTCCCAGCGCCCATATATCAGCTAACAACCATCTATAACTCCAGCTCCAGGGGCTCTGACGCCCTCTTCCGACCTCCAGGAACATTGCACGACATGGATACACTTACATGCAGGCAATACACTCACATATAAAATAATGTATTTCTTAAGGGGGGGGGAGTGAGACAGAGTTTTACCAATCTAGCACAGGTTGGCCTTGAATTCAACATCCTCCTGCCTCAGCCTCTTCAGTGTTGGGACTGCAATCATGGCCCACTAGGCCTCACTGATTCTTGAATTCTTTAGAGTTCTCTTTATCTCTTAGCAGTCCATCCCATGTGGCTAGTTATCATCTTTTATGTTAATTTTTCTGGTGTGGTTTCTCTGCTCTCGTACTTGGCTAGACCCTGACTGGAACAACTTACGATTTCTAAGATTTGAGAAGCTCACAAATTGTTTCAGAAAATAAAGGAAGAGAGTAAATTTCCCAAATAATTGTAGAAGGGATATAATCACTCTGTTCCCCAAACCAGACAAAGATAGTATAGTAAAATAAAGGTAGAGCAATATTGTACATAGGCATAGTTGCAAATGCCCTTACTCAAAGGCAAGTGAAATTCACCAACCTATAAACAAGGTGATGAACCCCACTTAGAAAGGACACATCATCTCAGGATTGTAAAGCTACTTTAACATCTGAACAATGTGATACACAACGTAAACAGATAAAAGACAAAAAACCTGTAATTACCTCATTAGCTATAGAAAGAACATTTAACCTCCAATTCTTATCCATAATAAAAATCTCAGAAAGCTAGAAACAGAAGGAAATTTTCCCTAGATAAAGGGATCTTTAAAAATAAATAAACAAAATACCCTAGAATATCATATTAATAGTTTAAGACACTCTTCCTAAGATCAGAAACAAGTGAAAAAATAGGCTTTTCATACCTCCCAACATTGTACTTGAAAGTTCCAGCCAGTAAAGAAAGGCAAACATACTCCGGAAATAAAGCACATATTGGAAAAGAGGAAGTAAAATCATCTGTAGTCACGGATGATCTAATTACATATGTAGAAAATCTCTATATATTTCAGATAGAATATGAAGTCCTGGCAAGAATGTTCCAGTTGGAACTTCAACACTGAGATAGCAATATAACATCAGACCATCCTTTTGGGAAGGGTTGGCAGTTTCTGATAAAGATAAACATATCTTTAGCATAAGAGCTAATAACGTCTCTCCTCAACATTAACCCAGAAGAAATAAAAACACACTCCCCTATGTCTGAGGACACTGACTTGACACAGTGGGCCTTAATATCCAGAACAGAGTACATGGGTTCCAGTGGGGTGCTATGGGACAGTGCTGGTGGGGATGGGGCTATGAAGAGGATTCAGATTGCTTGAAATATTCTGTATGAAATACAATAAATTTAATAAAAACAAATTTTGAAAAACCACTCCCTTCACAAAGATTTGGTACTGCAAAAACTGGAAGAATGAAAACCAAGTTGTGGTATATCCATACAAGGAATACTCTACAGAAATAAGATCAAAAAACCCGTGCACACACATGACAAATCTCACAGCATTATTCTGACGGAAAGAAACAATTCAAAGAGCATATAACATGTCATTTTCGTGTACTGAGAAGAAATGAAAGCTAAGTTTTAGCAACAGAAATATCAATCATTTTCTGAAATAAGGAGAGGAACTGACTGAACAAGTATAAGAGACAATTTTCTGGGATGACAGGAATATTCACTACCTTGACTGGAGTGTTGGTCACGTGGGGGCATGTTGGTTACATTTATCAAAACTCATTAAACCATACATTTAAAATGGAATTATTCTATTGTATGCAAATATTATCTTTATGTTAGTTTTTTAAAATATTTAAAATCTAAACTGGAAATCACTTAGACTGGGTTTTGATATTACATTTTTCTTTTTTATATGATTTACTCTATTAATAAGCCTCAAGTATTCAAAAGTAATACAAAACCTCATCGTAGCTTAGACTGCTAAAAATCCTTCAGTAGAATTAGTTCAATGAGTAAGTTTCTAGTCATAAAGAATTTCGGAATTTACCCACATGAAAAATCAATTTGCTTCTAGGAATTACATTAATGCTTAGATATAAATCCTACTAGTGAGAAACACGCCTACCTAAATTTTTATATAAACACTGAGAACACAGTAAGTGCACGTATCCATATAAGGCATTGGGAGATGGTCCAAGTCTACAAGCTAATAAAGGGCTAGGTGTCCCCCTCCTGCCACACATAAAGAGATGAAAGCACGCTTCACTCTGCTGCCAGGGCCACCCGTGAGGACATGCTGCCATGGGCACACTGGAATGGCAGGAAAACTGCCACAGCTGTCTCTAAACTCACTCACAGCGGTTACACTGGGTGTTTTCTTCAGCCATCTGAGAAAATGTCCTCAGAGAGTAAGAGGGTAAGGAGGCTCTCAAAGGTAATAAGATTCAAAAGTTGGAATTAAAATAATTAAAGAAAGCAAACAATCTGGTAATTCTGATGATACTTTATTATTGCAAAAATAGCTTTGGAGTTAGTTTATTAATGAGGTATTTTTCAAATCATCCCTCTACCATATCACAATTCAAAAGCATCATTTTGATGACGGGGCAGAAAGAGCAGAGGACTTGTCAGAGTATAAGGGTGGCGTGTTGACGTTTTCTTCAGCTTCCTCGTAAGGCAGCATCATCTTCTGAAGAGGCCTCAACTCTCTTAGACACATGGTCAGCACTGTAAATCCACCTCTGTGATTATCAAGTTACAGCCACCTGCATGGTCACTTGCAAATGATATGAAGAGCTATCTTAGTATCAGCAGCAAGGCGTCAAGGTCCAAACCACCCAAATACTCCCAAAGGCCGGAGCTGATGAACAGTCTGGATGTTAGGGGATGCATAGGTAATGCTAAAGACTACCTGCATCCTCTGGATTAGTTCTAAGAAAATCTTTCCCAGACTCAAGCAAAACCCTATTTACTCTTCATTATTTTTAGCCTCAAAGGCTCCTATACTGGTCCATCAAACCCAGAACTGGCTCTGTACCACAGCAAAAATAAATCCAAATAATGTTCTTGATGCTATGTGAGTACTAGCGTGTGGCTTCCACGTGAAAGTTGTCAAACTGTGCAAATTCAAAGGTGTACGTTCCAATCGCAGCCCAGCCAAACGCTGGGTATTTCACAAGGACATTTTCCCACAGGGGCTTGCCGTTCAACATGCCAGAGGAGAAATAACCCTGGAGGAGAGAGAAACACAGCCCTTGAAAACATGAAAGTGGCCCTCTGAGGTCTGCTTCTTAGCAACGTAGCTTACCCACTTAGTGCAGCAAATGCCTGTCTCACTCCAGACTGACAGTGTAAACACAATTCTGAAATGCTTCAAAATTTTCCTGGAAGAATGGATAGGAAGCACCTACGGAAGGAGGTCTCCAAACATGCCATAACTCAACATTTCCTGATGCGCCACCAAAACCCAAAATTCATGTTTTTAGAACAGTATAAAGTTTTAGACAAAAGTCCATTAAAATAAAAAGATGCAAAATATGGCATTTGAATACACAGGTGTTCTGGCTAAACAGGCAGCAGCTCTCCAGAGATGACCAGGTTGGTGCCCTAAAGCCCGCTGCTACCTCATTCTTTACTTAAGGTCTCTAAAAAGGACTCTTCACCCAGCCAGAAGGGGAGGAATTAGCCTTATTATTACTGTTTTGTTCCTCTGTAGAGAATGCTACCACAAAGTCACATGGAATGTCTGCATTGAAGTTAGAAGAGCAGTAACCATCAGTTAAACGGAAAATGGGTCAGGTAAGGTGGGGGAAGAAGGACAACATCATAAGGTGTGATTTACTGCCCACTTTACTGCCCACTGACAGAGAAAGAGAAAATCACATCTTTCTCAGAAAGTCACCATTACACTTTTCAGTGTCTGGCACACAGTAACTATTCAATGTCATCTTTTATTGCCACCGTAGTGCACTATGAACATATACTCAAACCACACTGATTATAGCTAGCCATGTAAAACTAGCTACTTTCAAAAGTTAAAAAGCTGGAGAGTCAAAGCATTAGGCCCAAACCCAATGCAAATCTTTCTCTCCTGAAATTATAGTGTAATGCTCTTTAATTTGGTTCTTTCATTTTATGGATGGAGACACTGAGGTTTAGCAAGATTAAAATTCAGGTCACAGATTTACCAGCAGGGCTGGGACTTGACTCCAAGTCACCCAATTCCAAATATGAAGCCACATTCCTCTTATTGCACATCGGTACAGTGGTCTTCGGCTCTCAAAGTGCTTACTGGACATTCTTTGCCACTCCCAGGACAGTGAATGTTAACACTGAACCAAGGGACTCACATACACAAACCATATTAAACATAAAACCTCCAACAGTGCCTCCATGAACACTCCTCAGCCCTCACTCCCCAGTTCAGACATCGAGGCTTCCCTAATGCTTCCTACACGAGGACAGGTCTGCCCTTGCCTCTGCACCCACCATGTGATCTGCTCACATTGTTCTCCCTTATTCTGATCTAAGCCTAAGCTTCACCCACTCAGCATGGTCTTCTCTAGTTAGAAGTACAGTTGGGGAGCTATTTTATCTCATTATCCTAAATTTCTTCATAATTTTACCTTCATTAACTCATCGCCAAATTACTGTCTTAGAACTAGGATCAGCAAACCATGGCTCTCAGGCCAGCCACCTATTTTTGAAGTAATATTTTACTGAAATTCAGGCCCACCACTTCATGTACATCTTGCTTATGGCTGCTTTCTCACTACAGCAGTAGAGCAGAGTGGGTGCAGCACGGACCACAAAACACGACTAGAGAGCATGGCCAGTCTAGAAGGAACTCATTGATTTTCTAAGCCAGAAAAAGCCAGAGCGCTTAACTGATTTGCCAACAGTCTTGAAAACTAGTTAGTGTCAGAAATGGAGGTAGGAACAAACCATGTAATGCTTCTCTCTTACTTGTTGTGTATGAGTTTGTGTATGTTCTAGACAAGGAGGTCTAGAACACACTTGCCACAAACGCACAAGTCATCTTTATCCTTCCTACTAAATTCCTAATACTAAGCAGCATTTGGCAAATGATACTTGCTGTATAAACAAACATAGCCCAAATAGCACCAACAGCTTCCAGATTCCAAATGATAGCTAATGTGAGGGTTTTATCTTTTCACATTGGCTGATTCGTTAATTCTTCTCCACACAGGTCAGGTGCCTTTACCCCCTAGTACTGCTGCTGTAGCTAAAATGATAGACTCTGAAGTCTGTTATGCTCCATTTGTAAGTAGAGAATTAAAATGGGCTGCTTGGACGATGGTACTTGAGAGGCTACTTTAGTTGGGTAATTAGAGAAAGACTGGAAAAAGTATGTGGCCCAAAGTCAACATTCAGGGTGAAGCACAATGTCCACAGTTGGTGGAGCAAGAATTAATGGGAGCAGGGACAAGACGTCAAAACCCCTATTTCAGTAAAAAGAGCTAATCCTACAAAATTTTAAAAATCACATTATATTAAAAACATGTGAGAAGAAACAGCTAAAGTAGGAGTGGCTTGTCCAAGACAGAACAGACTATGCAAGCTCTTAAGTGGAGAGAAAAGTTGGGGGAAAGGAAACAGACAAGGAACTGGAGTGAAGCAGGTGCTACTTCAGGAAGGAAGTCTGAAGCAAGTGAGGAAGTAAGCCACACAAAGATTTTAGAAAGCTAACAAAAAGTGTGGTATTGAAAGTCATAAACAGAGAAATATGGAGAATAAAGTTCAGAGATAAGCTGATGCAAATGTGCTGGCTGTCATGTCAAAAGGACAGCCTGTTTACATAAGGTCTCAAAGGACAGGCCACAGTAAATGACAGCTCGTGCTTACTTTTCAAAAAAACATTACCTTAGGCACTTCCCCTTTCAATTCACAAATAAATTCCAGATGGAACAAAGACTTAAACCTAAAAATAAATCCCAAATGTTATATGTGAGGGAAAAATGAGAAAAGGGGGTCTGCTTAAGTAAAGCGCAAAAAGCAGGAGGAAAGTTGAATTGCTCGGAACGTCAAAGTTTTCAACTTTTATTCATTAAAAACGTTAATAAAAAATTAAAATACATGCCAAAAAAAGAAAATATTTGTGAGCTATAGACAGCAGGTTACTATTCAAATATATAGTAATTCACACCAATCGATCAAATAAAAACAGTACAGTAAATGAGAGCAGAATGTGAAAAAGAAACAGGAAAATAGACCTTGCAAATAATGAATAAATATTAGAAGACATGCAACCTCTCTGTCAATGAAATACGAATCATATGAATTAGTTTGGGGAAAAAATCTAAAATTAACAATAGCAAATATTACACTTTAGCTAACAATATGGCAGAAAATATGTCAAAATTTGAAATGCAATTCTTCTTAACCCTTGTCTTCATAAACACTGGATACCACACACACAGAAAGTATGTTTGGGATCGCTCCATCAGAGAACAATCAGAACAAAGCGAGGCCCATCAAGAAAAGTGTGGTCAAATAAACTAGGCCACATTCCAACCAGATCCTCAACACTGTGAATGCTTTAAAAATTACAATTGTCATTTTCAGTGGCTGGGTGGGAAACAAAGAACAAATTCAAAAGTTCTTGAATCTCATTTTTAATTTACATCAACAGTCTAACCGAAATTATGAAAGGATCATTTTGGAAGAGAGCAACGCATTACAAAACAAACTTCTACAGAGCGTCCTTTGGGAGCACTGTCAGTCAGAAACTTGTGGTCAACCAAGGGTGCTGAGGACGACTTTTAGATTTCCTCACACTACTATTACACTGGTATTGTCTATTTTTAGATTTCCTTACACTACTATTACAGTGGTATTGTGTATTTTTAGATTTCCTTACACTACTATTACAGTGGTATTGTGTATTTTTAGATTTCTTTACACTACTATTACACTGGTATTATCTACTTTAGATTTCCTTGCACTATTACACTAATATCTTCTCAAAAAATTTTGAAGAAAAAATTGAGAAAATTGTGTTTATAGTTAAAACCAAAATTATTCTAAACTATCAGAAAAAGTTTTTTGTGACTTTACTTATAACCATATGTTCCAATTATAATCTTGACTCAAGTATACTGAAATTATATTTCAATTATTGACTTTACCAATTACTCCTCAGTTAAAAGACCAAAACAGGGGCTGCAGAGATGGCTCAGTGGTTAGGAGGACTGACTGCTCCTGTAGAGGACCTGGGTTCGATTCCCAGCACCCACATGATGGCTATGAACCATCCTTAACTCCAGTTCCAGGGGAATCCTAAGCCCTCTTCTGACCTCTGCAGCATTGCACGACACGGGTACACTCACATACATGCAGGCAATATACTCATACACATAAAATAAAAATAATTTTAAAAAAGACCAAAACAAAGTTCAAACAAATAGTAGCCTACAAAAGTCCAGTGCTGGTTACCATTTGATTACTCTGATGCCTACCTTCATGCTATGAATGAAGAGTTCACTGGTTTCCATGGCAGACTCTCTCTTTTCATCACTTATCATATCCTTCCATTTGTTTTGTAACAGAAAATTCTAGAAAGCTGCACAAACACTTTATCTCTGCTCATTCTGAGCAGCAATACTTACCTTAATTACTAAGGTGAGTGTATACCATCTTTTTGCTGTAATGTCAGCACGTCCTGAAGTATATGTGGTCCACCCACCTGTAACAGAAAGAATATCTAAACTGACCTATTTTAGAAATGGAAATAAAAGAATCATAAAACTCAGGGGGGGGGGTTCTCAGATGGCATCTGTATGTGGTAAAACCAGCCTCAATAAAGAACGACATAGTTTCATTTCCAAATCTACAATTGGTTTAAAATGAAGATCCCTCATTCAGCCATACATCACATAACATCATACATCACATCCACACAATCACTGGGATCCTGCTCTAAGTCATAGAGCATATGAGAGCTTGCAACAGAGTTAATGAGATACAGTTAAAAACTAACTACAGTATGATGCATCAGCTCCTGTGGTCCACATATACGTTTAGACCTGGTTGGACTGAACAGGGAAGACAAGGAGTAGTCTAAGACCACCTAATATTTCCAGCCAGTAGAACTGCTTACATAAAAAGAGCAGCAATTTTGGACAGAGGAGGTAAGGAGAAGCTCACTTCTGCATTTACTGCATTTGAATGCCTGAGACAAGCCTGGGACGAGACACCAAGCAGTAAGCTAAACATCAGGGCTGAAGACTCAGATTTAAATTCCGAGTTCCAGTTCAACTACTAGCTAGCTTTGGGGAATTTGGGCAAATCAATTAACTGTTCTGGCTACCTGTTTGGGAGCAGAAAAACAGTGAGGTACCCACTAGATGGATATCCTTACCATCTAATACCTAGCTATCTTATTTTATTTACAGAGCTGAAGCACAGAGCAACAAAATATAAAACAGACATTTTTTTAAAATCATTGCAGGAGGGAAGTCTAGAGACTGAGAGTCAAGAGAAGTCACCACCGACAAGGTCTCACATCAATAAACAGAGCAAACTGACACCAAAGTGCAATTCAATGCCAACATGTTCCAGGCACCTATTCTGCAGTAAATGCTGTGCAACATAGAGCAAGTGCTGTTACGACAAAATATGAATGAAGAAACTCAAGCTGCTTCTAAGTGTTAAGTCAATTAGGAAGTGGAGATCCTCCACTAGGTGGGTCAAACCCTTTCCTCGAGCCCATGAGCACAGTAGCAACTCTTCCAGTGCCTATGTTGTCTTCTAGAACGTTCTTCTTCCTGCTTCATGCCAGTCTTCATAGGCCTCATCCTCACAGCCAACCCACCCCAAAATGCCCTACAAAGCTTTGTTCTGAGAGTTTCTCATTTGCTGAGCTGCCCATCTCCACACAATAAATAACTATGATCTTCAATTGCTTGGTATTTGCCTACACATGTTGAATTTCTACCCAACTAGACACATAAACACCTTGAAGAAGAGTTCTTTATTGCTCCTAGAACACAGGAATTTGTAGGCCATTATAAAATGTCACTTACCTAGGTCAGCCTTCAGGTGACAGAGGGATTTGCTAAGTCTTAGCTGGTAGCAAGGGTGGGCTTCAAGAAATCTTCACTGATGGCAGGTTTAAGTTTCACGTGCCTGACCTCAGTCAGTGTAGCGGCTCTGATCTCAGCAGACTGCCAAAGAGTGCTGAGTTCCAGCCTCCCTCTGGCCTCCCTCTGGCCTCCCTTTGGCCTCCCTCTGGCCTCCCTTTGGCCTCCCTCTGGCAGACGGCCTAAGAACACAAGGGACTGCCTGAGAGCCCCCGGACCCTGCCTCCACATGGTGATGAGCTTCCCCTAATTGTGCCATACCCATCCCCCTACCTGGGATTTCATGAGGCCCCTCTCAAGGCCCCAGGGAAGATCTGTCTTTGGTAAGCTAATGCTGAGATACTAGCAGACAGCCTAAGAACACAAGGGACTGCCTGAGAGCCCCCGGACCCTGCCTCCACATGTTGATGAGCTTCCCCTAATTGTGCCATACCCATCCCCCTACCTGGGATTTCATGAGGCCCCTCTCAAGGCCCCAGGACAGATCTGGCTTTGATAGGCTAAGGCTGAGATCCTAGAAGACAGCCTGAGAGGGTGGGTTTCAACCTCCATTGGTGTAGCAGCTCTGATCTCAGCAGACCACCAGAGAGTGCAGAGTTCTGGCCTCCTTCTGGCATAGGGGCTGAGAATGCAGGGCACTGCCTGAAAGCGCCCAGATCCTGCTTCCACATGGTGAAGGAAGCCAGAGTGTACCTGACTGGAACCTGAATCAGGCTTCTGTGGGTAGACCTGAATACCTGATCTGAAGCCAACAGTTCCCTCCAAATTAAACCTGAGGGAACCTGAACCCTGTATCAATCAGCTTCACATAACCAACAAAGAAAGGATATAGGCACCCCAATAATACAAACAGAAGCACACTTCAACTTAATTCTCATATCAAAATCATAAACAAAAGGAATTGATATGCCAAAATTACAGCGAAAGAATAATAAAATGGAAAGCCAAAACACTATGTCCCTACCAAACTCCACCAATCCTGTAGAAGAGTTCTACAAGGAGAACTCCCTAGAGATAACCCAGGACACCAGATTTAAAAGAACAATCATAAACATGATCAAGGAATTCAACAAATGTAAAGAACACAGGAACAAACAAATCAAAGAACTAAAAGAAGATAGAGATAAACTTCTGAATGAATTCACAAAGAGATAGAAACATTGAAGAAAACTCAGGCAGAAATGAAGAAGGAAGTGCAAAACTCAATAAGCCAACTTGAAGACAGGAGAAAGCCTCACCAATAGGATGAACGAAACGGGAAACAGAGAATCAAGACTGGAGGATAAAGTTGAAGAATTGGACCACTCAAGCAAAGATTATGAAAAAAATTAAAAACACAGGAGTGGAATATGCAAGAGATGTGGGACACCATGAAAAGACCAAATCTATGAATCATAGGAAAAGAGGGAGGAGAAGAATTTCAGGTTAATGGTATTGACCAAATCTTAACCAGGATTGTAGAAGAGAATTTCCTGAAATTAAGGAACGACATCCCCATACAAATACAGGACCAAATAGAACACCAAATAGGATCAGAAAAGAAATGCCCCATGATATATCATAGCAAAAATAGTAAATGTACAGAACAAAGAGAATACTGAAAGCAGTGAAAGAAAATCAACAAGTCACATACAAAGAAACACATACAAAGGAAAGCCCATCAGAATACAGCTGACTTATCAATGCAAACTGTGACAGAAGAGCCTGGACCAAGCAAGGTATTTCCAGTTCTACATAACAATAGATGCCAGCCAGAAAAAAATGTCTATTATAGCTGAGGGGGAAAGAAAAATCTTCCATGACACAAATAGCCCTTTCAATACATGTATTCTTTCAATACATGTCCACAAAACCAGGCCTTCAAAGAATACTTGAAATGATACAGAGAGTAGAGAGAGAAACAACCACACCCCAGGGGCAACGAAAGAAAATAAATAAAGGTATAATCTAGGAAACAATTAGACAGAGAACACAAACAGCCATTAAAATGATGACAACCAATATACATCTTTCAACAATAACCTTAAATATCAATGGATTGAACTCCCCAGTCAAAAGACACAGACTAAGTGAATGG